CAAGAGAGCGATAGAAATTCCTCTAGTTATTGGAAAACTGTTTACTTTGCATTTTTTTTTTGGTGGTTTCGTTATATCGCCTGAGGCGGGCTCCCTTAGCTTTTACCTTCTGTCTTAGTTTCTCTTTGTAACAGATCAGCGCTTTTGATGGATTTCGCTCATTATTTTGATACCTGTTTCCATAGCTATGTGAGCCATTTTTCTTTTTACTTTTTGGTTAGGATTCTCTTTTAGAAACTCCTCTATCGAGGCCTCCCACTTCTTCAATTTATTTACCTTCTCTAAATCCCTCTCGCTCTTGGATTAAAATGGAGCTTAGGAATATTCAGTCTTGATTTGTTTTGCGAGTGTTCGAATAGGTACAAGTTTTCCCGATATTTTTGTTGGGCTTCTTCGTCGACGTGCACTTCTTCGCTCTCTTGGATTGGGACCTCATAAAACTCCGTAAAACTAAAAACTACGTCCATCCATAGAGTCTGAAAAATATACTTGCCTCGTTATACAACAAACGGCTTCGGTATATTCTTAAACAGTATTTTGAAAAAATGCTTCTACAAAATTTGAACCTTTTTTAGATGAACATCCAAAATGGCACCACCAGCAAAAATGCCCTACTTGAATCTAGATTGTAAAAGTCCTTAGATTGGCTAAATATGTTCATTAAGTTTTTAAAATAATATTGGCGTGGTGGTCCCACCTCAGATGCCTATCGATCTACATCCCAAATCAAAAATCTGGCTCTGTTTGGCGGGTGCAACTAAATGTGACAGATTCTGAATTATCTGTAACACTTATGACATATCCAGGACTGGGCCAAAGCTGTCCCTTGAACCAGATATAACAGATTCTTGGGTTCTAAGTTCGTCTTAAATCAAGCCGTGTTGTTTCCTCTTTTCCTCTCGGTTAAGTAACTTCTAAAAAGATCAACAATCATATTTTTCACGCCTACGTCTTCCACAGTTTCAAACACCTGTGCGTGGCCAACGGTGTCAAATGCTATTACGAGATCTAGGAATATGGAGACTTTCACAATTTATTGACGGTTGTGAGCGCCTTATATGCTTGCATTTTTTCGCAAGAGATATTATTTTTCAGAAGTTATTTTAAATTGTGTTTAATTGTTGTGTTAAATTGTTAGAGAATTGTATTAGAGAAATTGGCCCGTAGTTGACATCTCTTGTTTATTGCCACTTTTAAATATTGGAGTCACAACAGAGAGTTTAAAGTGAGATGGCCAACTACGTACATGCAACGATACGCTTTTTTTATGTGGTTAGATAGTCAGAGAATGGCAGAATAACCCAGTGAAAACCTCAGAAGAATTTTGCCAAACATTTCTGTTATAGAGATTGATATTAATGTCTAATTATCATTAAATTATCAAATAAAAGACCAGTTTATTGTCTAGGATGCCAAATAATATGTTATGTTTGTTATTGTTAGAGTAATTTCTCTAAATATGGACAAGGCGGATTCGTACAATAAAAGATGACAAAAGTGACTAGATAGGAATTAGGTTTTTCAATATTTATGCAAATTGTTGCCTTGTTTTTTTAACGGCTTAACGAAAAAAACTTCTTATTCTTATAATATGGGGTACCTATCAGTTTCCAATATGGACCCGTGGTTCATATTAAAAGCCGTGTTTTTTTTTTATTTTGGTACGTAGCTTCTTCGCAAAAGCAAAAACCGTCCTCCCGGCAAACTTGGCAGAGGGAAGCAATGAAAAAAGGGGTAGAAGCAAATAACTTCATTTAGTTCAGCGAAACGAGGTTCAACAACAACGTGATCATATTGCGTCGAAAGCAAGATCATCCATTGCTAATCACTGGTGCATCTGCTGAATCAATACATGCTTGTCGTCCGTTAAGCTGGATATAGACAAAGCTTTTCACTAAATGGTTTATACGCTTTTTGGAAATTTTTAAACTTTCTGCTACTTCTCCCGTGCTTCTGGCATGAAAAAATAATGTTCGCTTACTGTCAATACCGCCGTACTCTAGCAATAAAATCCACCCTTTAGGCAAAACGTTTACGGGCCCCATGAAAAATATATGGCCCAAGAAATCCGTATACGGATGCGAGTTAATGACATAGCAAGTCAGTGTGCAGAACTAGCTATCAGTGGCTTGTGAACAACAGGAGTTTATCCGCTTAATCCATATGGTTTTAATGTTCATAATTTTATCTAAACAACCCTAAACGATAAACCAGATACGCTACAATACAAAATAAAACAAATCAGGAAGATCAATCGATCATTCCAAATCTACTTCCAGAACCCGCAACTGCTCCCGCTTTTCTAGCATCAAAACATATTAGTCCAATACCGCGTTTAAATAGAACAAAAAGCAGAAGGAGAAAAAAAGCTAGCAAGGCTGCTCTATTGACATCTTCCCCATAAAAACTGGAATGTGAACAATTATTTAAGGGGACAAAAGAAATAAATCCCAAAATAAATAAGATAGCATTATAAATTTTAGCCATAAAGTCACCTAAGGACAAAAAACTACTAACGGACAGAAAAATGAAAAGAAAACAACAATTTGTAAATCAGGAGATCGGTCAAGTTCTGAGCATTCTAGTGATTTTTCAGTCAAAGATAGCTCAGATAAAAAATATCCTACAGCCCAAGAAAATGCAGCATGTTAATATTGTGATGGCTTATTTTTGGAGGATGCTTGTGGTGAATTATGGGTCTCGATGAAGGTAAAAAAAGGCAGTTTAAAAAGCGAGTTTTGTAATAGCTGTTTGTTATACACCACAGCTAGGGTTTGATTTATTTTATTATTGTTATTACACTAGTTCTGGTCCGTATTAAATACTAGTAATCCGTATTTTAGTTTTTATTCATTTGTGGTATTGTGTACTTGACTGCTCGGAATAGCAAGCTAACTCTGGGACATTTTTTCTTTCCTTTCATTTGAAAAAAATCCTTACAGTACTTAATATTTGGAGGACCTACTCTACTTCATTTACAATTCGAAAGATGCCAAATTACAAATACCAAATATTTAATATCATCACTTTTTTCTCTATTAGATCATTCATTCAAATTGGTTAATCACTAACTTGGACACTAATGAATGGTTAAAGAATAACTATTTGTATAGTAGTAGTAGAAAGTAGTAAAATGTGGAAAACTATTTTAAACACATCTTTTTATTGAAGTGATAAATGATAATAATAAATTAATTTTAAAATGACAAATAAACACCGTCTGCTTATAGGAAATTTGACAAATAGCAAAATTTGGCATCCTAAATAATAAGTTAGAATTTCATGCTTTTCGGGATTAATTATGCATTAATAACAACCCGTACAGTGCAAATGATTAGCAAAATTCATTTTTTTTAGTTTTAGATTTAGATATTATTTAAATTTGAAATTTTGAAATTTATTTATATTCATATTATATTTACTTAGAAAAGTCATATCGATACATTCATTCCTTGTTCATAAAATTATTTTTTGTGATAATGTCAGAAAACGTCACTCATAGTGCGACTGATAGCTTAGCAAAAGCCCTGAAATGAGCTGAGTTTATTAAAACCCGTTAAGAATTTTTGGATTTTTTGACATTTAATATCGAAAATGCTTGAACGCCCTTTTCCCCCTGTCCTTGAAGGGATAGAACAAACAGCACTAAAGAAAAAAAAATTGACTTTGATCCTATTTAATTTCTAGGACTGTCCGTTTCTCTTACCGGAACGTGTCCCAGATTCGCTTCTCTATACTGGGATCTCCGCTCCTATTATATCTACAGAAGATGTTAATTTTTCAAAGTTTTGAAGAAAACTTGGTGCATTTGATAATCGGCCTCAGATTAATTGGATCTAATGAATTATTTAACATTTATATTAATAAGTAACACATAAAAAACTGTATAAATGTATGAACGCATTCAATTTTCAATAGAACGTGGAACGAAAAAACGACAACTCAACAAGTCAGATGTTTTGGGCAAATTTGCTACTGTGTGTTAAAAAAAAAAGGAATCTAAATTTTTATTATGTTAGTAACTGGTTAGCAATTAGCAGAGTTGCAAAATTTGATCCTTCCGAAATTATAGAAATTCTAAAACAAATAGTCTGAAAATTAATAGCCAGTTACTAACATAATAAAAAAGTAAAAAAGTGTAGCATTTTTCGCAAAATAATACTCCCGTGAATAATGATGTAATACATTTTTATAACAACAATCAAAAGTTTGAGTTGAAAATCCTATTACATTTTCACACAGTGCTATGCTAAAAATTATGATCAACTAAATATTCATATTATATTATTAACACTGAACCATCTTTTACCGTACGTTACCAATATTACTAATAGCTGCTTGTTAGAATCGTTTTTTCCGGATCAGTGGAAGATTGCAGAGGTTTTTATTCTGCCAAAAAAAAATTATATTCCAACTGTCACTGAGATTATACCAGTAAGTATCGAAGGTTTTGGAGAAGATCATGTATTATCTATAAAATACTTCCGGAAACTCAGTCAGGATTTGGAAAAGGATACATAAGTTATAAACTTAAGAGTTATTATGGAAAAAAGTTTGAGATTTAAATCCAGTGTCAGCATACAAAAGCTTACGCCAGTTTAAAGATGTATCCGCATAGGAGTGTTTTGAGCACAGCTGTCAAATTGAAGCTTACTGTGCTTACAATATAGATAAAACACTATTACCACCAAAACATCTCCTCTATCTGGTCTTCACAAAACTTAAGGAGGTTGAAAGAAAAAGAAAAAAAATCAAGCCCAGATTCAATTTTTTTACTTACTTTTACCCCTGCCGATTTTCATTTTTATCTCACTACTAGTTTTTGGTATTGTAACAAAGCACAACAAAAGCCATTAAAAATTATATATAGAGGAATATTTAGTAAACAGCAGACGCCGTAAAAGCTTTCTCGTCTGCTTAGTAAAAATATCAATCAAATCATCAAAAAACTAGTACTAGCATTTTATTCCTCGATCACGACTAATACATAGCTATTTTAGGAAAAACCTTACGTGATGGTGAAGGCAGATAACAGCTTAACCGGCAACGCGCGGTACGAAGGTTTCTGTATAGATCTACTTAAATGGATAGCTGGGCAGGTTGGTTTCCAGTACAGCATTCGTTTGGTACCCGACCACATGTACGGCGTGTACGATCCGGACACAAAAGAATGGAATGGCATTGTGCGAGAACTTATGGAAAAGGTAACTATGGGTAACTTGCTTACTAAAGCTATCCTCATCTTATAAAATCATGTTATAACGCGAAATAAACTTATGCTTTCTTAACTGAACTATGTCCAGTCAGCATGTAATGTTGTCGACAATCTCATGATATGAATGTGTTTTCTTTTATAGCACTCTTCTGTTAGGGTTTTACCAGCACCTGAGACTGAGGCTTTTGTCTTGTGGCATTGTACGTTTGATAAAGAAGATCCTCGACTGCCTCAATCTCGACAGAACCTCCAAATAGAGACCTCCCGAGTCATGCATATTTTTCTCCCTCTCTAGTACCCTGTTATTCCAATATGACTCCCGGTTCAAGGCTCTAGTCTATTTTTCCCATAGTACTAAATTAACTAATTAATTAATAATTACGTTTTTTATAGATTCACAGAGGCATAGGTATCTATAAGCTAGGAGAATTGATATATGTATATATATATATATATATATATATATATATATATATATATATATATATATATATATATATATATATATATATATATATATATATATATATATATATATATATATATATATATATATATATATATATATGGACGCCCGGATGCAGCGCTATAGAAACGGTATATACAAGATCTAAGTAGTCTAAATTAAAATTTTCACAAAGACGCTACGATCATAGGAAACTGAATTTTCTTGTATATTGTTAGTTCAACTGTATACCCGGTAGAGGCGCGAGACCCAGTCTCTGTATATTTTACAAGATATATTCTACTTTCAGCTCGTCGATTTCCAGGCGTCCTCTGCGCCTTTGTTACGTGGCAACACTGTCACTATTAACTTTTGCAGACTGGCACGAAATTGTGGGGTTTTGTTTTTCATATTGAATGAACTCGATTGGCGCTCCATGGTTCGAGCATGTAGAGACATTGGAAATAGAGAATTTTATTTTTTGTACCACAAATTCGGAAGTAGGCTAAGTTGGAATTAACACAAACGTAACACAAATACACAAGACTTTTTTTTTCTATTAAAAAATTAAATAATTAATAAAAGTTTATTTTCGAAATGTGTGGTAAAGAATTCAAAATTTATAAAAATCATATTTATATCCTGTTGCCAATGCCGTACGCTTTATATGATATTAGAATTTAAAACAATATTCTGTGACACGTCGCGAAACTCTTTTGTTTCGCTTGCTCTCTTCGTGAGAAAATCCGCTCATTGCATAAAGTTATTCTTTTTTCAACTACTTGTCCGCCCGTTGCAATTTTTTTACCTTAATTCAATGAACTCGCGTCTGTCTTTACTTAGAAGCCTGACTAGATTGAAGTCAGTCGTTAAAGTCGGACAACAGACGCAATAACAACACCCAAGACTCCAGGTGGGAATCGAACCAACAACCTCTGCTGCAAGTCGAGTTGGCAGGTCTAACGACTTACCAACCGATCCATCCTCGATCACTTAAAAAAAATTATATTTTTTATTTAGTTGCACAAATTGCTATTTTTCGATTATTTAATTATTATTGCATTATATAATCTTCAGATCCATGAAGCAACATTATTAAAATGTTTTAATTAAACAAAGTGGCACCAACAAGTTTTGGTTTTTTATATGCGAATACTATGCAATAACTTCTGAATCTTTTTTAATTTTTGGGTACATTTTTAGATTTATTACTTTCTTCCGATAATTTCTGCTAAATGCTATTTAGAACGGTATTCGAAATATTAAAAATATCGAATATAAATATTTATATTATAGAAATATTGAACATAAATGGTTGTTTAATGCAATAGGAAAAGAAGTTGTTGGAATTTTAAAATTAAAATATCATTTGCTAAATACTTATCTAAATAATTGGGTAATAAAATATTTTGATTTTATCGTCTAATAATATTTCATTAATATTAATAGGTCGCCTATTAAAGTGCGCAACATATAAGAACTATTTAATTGAACGATTTAAGTTGTTGACTTTTGCTTTTAATCAAACCAAAATAAATGTGAAAAGTAACATTTCTATATTTTAGTAAAAATTATTATTTTGAAATGAACTTTGCTAAAGGTTATTCGATAAAAGTGTTCTTTTTAATAGTTATTTTTCTTCATTGCGCCCTAAGATATAAATCAAAAAGAAGTTAAACAAGGAATGTGAGGGATGAAAAGTACAATAATGTATCACCACTGCCACTGAATAATATTTTCATATATTACTTTTTTTAATGTACCTAAACTTAAATCCTAACAATGAACCTCTGAAGTAAAGTATCTTTTTAGGTGATTTTCGACATATTCTCTATAAAGTTTTGCCTCGGGATAAAAAGTGTCTCTTTAGTTCCTTGGATACCATCTAAATTTTTTTCCCAAATTGATTTAAAAAAATCTCCCTTTTAAATTCCTGCTCTAAAATACGCATTATACAGTGGCTTAAAGACGTAGGGCTGCGAGCCACTGCGGATATTTCCGGTGATATATTTGGTTTGTCGATTCTGATGGTCAAGGTACACGCATATAGTATGCAACACCTTGTAAACTTCTTCAGTCACTCATTTATTAAGCACTCGCTCCATTCGTGCCAAATAAACTAATATGGCGTTTATCAAACTTGTTTAGCAAAGATTTCTGAAGATTTTTTTTTAAAGGTAACTTTCATAAAAATAAATAAATAAATAAATCGAACTTTCTGACGTTTCGCCAACCATTCTGGAGATCTCACAGCTGGTCCTGTTCATAAATTTGACCGTTACAAGAAAAATATGTTCCAGACAAGCATTTTTCAATTTGGTTGAATATGTTTGATTCCAGATTCCCGAATTGCAATATATCTGAAAGAGTTATGTCAAAACTAACCAGAGAAACAGAACAAAAAATATACGACTATGACAAATAGAGTCATAAGCAGTTGCCGAAAACAATAACGACACCGAAATCTCATTCGATCAAATTAAAAATTAATCAATGTAATCGATTCTTCTACCAGGGAAATATCCGAAAATTAATAGAAATCTCTAAACAACCAAACAATCTTAACCGCGACTCTGTCTTTCAACAATATGGAAATCCGAGACAATGTTCATGTCACTCTTTTAGCTCCGCCTCTCTCAAACAGTATATCAGTGGGTTCAGAATAGAATGTGAGCAAGCTTCACTTAAGCTCTGAGGAAGCCATCAGGTTGATTGGCGAAACGTCAGCTAGCTTTATTTATAAACAAAAGATGCAGAAGGGATCTAGAAGATTTGTAAATAGCCTTCTGAAAAAAATGTTAATTTTGACGAGTAACGAATGCCGTTCTCATCGCAGTTGTCTGTGTTCTTTATATATTTTTTTAATTAAACTAAAACAGTAACTTCTAATTATTCCAAATAACTAACATCGGTCCATTTTAGACCAACATTAAGCACACACAACACAGCAATATTGCCTCAGTTGGCCTGGTAAAAGGAAATAATTGAAAATTACATTACCTAATTTCTAAATTAACAGTTTTTCTTAATTTGGTACCATAATTTATTGATCTGCAAATAAGTCAACCGTCAAGAACTTAGTAAACAATTTAAAAAAATAATATTTAAATATTAGTATTTACTTTTTACAAAATTTCTGGGTTCCTCCTGCGTCGGTTTTTGTTGAGTCGAACTTGCTGACGTTTCGTTAATTATCCTGTCGGCTTCTTCAGAGCTTGACTGAAACTGGCTCGCATTTTACTCTGTACCTGCTGGCATATTGTTTGAGGGATTGGGGTAGGAGGGAGCTAAATGAGGGGCATAAACACCGTCTCGAATAACGGATTCCCATATTGGTGACAGGTAGAGACCTGAGTCGTGGTTAAGACTGTGAGGTTGTTTATAGATTTCTATTGACTCTCGGATTTTTCGTTGATGGAAGAACTGATTGCATGCAAGAATTTTAGTTTTATCGAATAAAATTTTATGCCCGGTATCGTGAGTGTGTTCGGCAACAGCTGATGAGTTTATTTGTCTTAGTCGTAAGGCTCTTTCGTGTTCTTTGAGTCTAGTTGATATTTTTCGTCCGGTCTCTTCAATATATTCTTTGCCGCATATTCATGGAATGCTGTAAACTCCTGGCATCTCAAATGGAATTTTGTCTTTGACGAACCGAAGATGTTGAGAAATTTTTGGACAAGTGATAAATCTGGTTTTAAAACTTTTGATATGTGGTCAGTGATGTTTTGAATGTAAGGAAGGACCACAGTGGCAAGTGTAGGATTGTGGTATTTTTTGATTGAACGCTTAATATCTTTAATGTGGAAATTATTAGAGAGAAGAGCAGAGGTAAACTTTTGAAATTTAATATGTTAAGTTCACACACATCACAATCTGGCCCAAAAGTCATCGGTTGTCAACTCTGTTGCTTACAGAACCGTAAAACTATCTCAGCCCGAGTCACTGAACCCAGAATTAAAACATCTTACTTCTGCTTTGCTCTCTCTAATAATTTCCACATTAAAGATGTTAAGCGTTCGATTAAAAAATACACTTCACCACAACCTTCCAATAGCAATGAGGCCGAAAGCAATCCTCCACTTGCCACTTACATTCAAAATATCACTGACCACATATCAAAAGTTCTAAAGAAGTATAACGTCAAAACCAGATTTACCACTTATCCAAAATCTCTCGACATTTTCGGTCCGTCATAGATAAAATTCCATTTGAGATGCCAGGAGTTTACAACATTCTATGCATATGCAGCAAAGAATACATTGGAGAAACCGGACGAAAAATATCAACTAGGCTCAAAGAACACGAAAGAGCCTTACGACTAAGACAAATAAATTCATCAGCTGTTGGCGAATTCTTGTATGTAATCAAACAAATCTCTAAACAACCAAAGAATCTTAACCGCGACTCTGGTCTTTGCCTGTCACCAACATGGGAATCAGTCATCCGAGACGGTGTTTATGTCCCTCATTTAGCTCCGCCCCCCTCAAACAATATATAAACAGGTACAGAGTAAAATGCGAGCCAGTTTCACTCAATCTCTGAAGAAGCCAACAGGAAGATTGGCGAAACGTCAGCAAGTTCGACTCAGCAAAAATCGGCGCAGGAGGAAACCAGAAGTTTTGTAGAAAGTATTACAGTAGCCTGTGGAAGTTTCTTTGAAAAATTAATAATAGTATTTGCTTTCAATTATTATTATTATTGGTTAGGTTTATGTCCAAGCAGCGCCTGGATAACGTAGATACATGTGCAATATTTCTGGCAATCATATTCAAGAATCAAAGAATTCAAGAATTACTTTCCAAAATCGGGCGACGTGTTAAAGAAAACATCTACACAAAGAAATTAAGTTTAGCAAAGAGCTTTAAAAACTAACAAATCTACCAAAAACATATATAATAAAATAAAAAATAAAACAGTTAGCAACAAAGCATTTTTCAAAATATAGCGAAAACATGAATCGCCTTATACCCACTCGACTGTGCACCGTCATGTTAAAAAGGAGAAGCGTGTTCTAAAGACCATATCTATTTATCTGTACTTTAATACACAATCAATTGGGCAACGTTGCTCGGACGCTCAGAAATCTGCCCAATAAATGAAAAATATACATACGGACGCTAGGATGCTGAAATGTAAAAGTTTTCCCGTGTATATTGGACGCTAGCAAGGTACCTCTATAAAAAGGACGCTGACATATAAGTATCATAAAACTTCACAAAAATGATCTTCGTAAAATCTGGCCTAACGAAACTCAACGCCATCTCGTTTATAAAACTTCTGACACACTGATGACACTATATTCCGGGATATCATCCGTTCGCTTGTTGAACTCCGACTGAAATCCTGCAGACGTTTCGCCAAAATCTCACTTGGCATCTTCAATGCTCGCGCTCCGAAAAAACTTCGAACACACGCAGAGTTTTCTTGTGGTTCTAGTTCTTTTGGGGCAGCGGAACTGGTCGAATAGAAGAGTCAAGATCGGGTTACACAATTTATTTCTTATATTTTCTGTTGAATCTTTAAACATTACACGAAGAGACATAACAATTATGACTGTGATTCCTAGGCTCTCGCCATACCATAGGAACTTCAAAGCTTAAACATTTCCTCCTATTTTTTTTGCCAGTTTCTTGAAGCTTCAGCACAAACGGAACAACCAGTATGAGGAGCCCAGGACTCATGTTGGTCGCCAATTTCTACGCCAAAATAACTGTGGTATACATTTGTCACAAAATAAGTTGCTTTACAATGACATAACTACCACAGATATAATAAAAAGTTATTTGGACTGTTCACACAATGTCGTCTTTTCATATTTATATGTTCTAGAACACTAGAAATACGCAGCAACGAAGACAACAGTCGCGAATACAGTAGCAACACAGTAGCAACCAATACAACCAAACTGCACATAAGCAGGTTACAACGCTGTATTGACCCTTCTGTTGCTTTGCAGAGAAATCTAATATTATCTAATTTTGGCAAATCACAAATTTCATAAAAATCAGTTCATTTAAAAGGCATGCATAAATCAACATATTCATGTCATGGGTATGTACAACAATAAAATATCATTTTTAAGATATAGAGCGATATAAAACTTGACTTGATAAAGCAAAAATGTGGCGTTTTTTGGAAAAAGGGCACTAAAAAATATACAAATAACCAAACATCAAAATCACTGGAGACCTGTGTAATTTTGATAACTTGTTTCATGGTATAGTTTGCCTCAAGGTACTGGCTTTTTACGTATTTATCAAAACTGAAACGAAATTTTTTGTGGCACCCTCGCAACTCAGTTCCTGTTTTGTATTTCAGAGGGCGGATCTGGCGGTGGCCTCGATGACAATAAATTACGCACGGGAGAGCGTAATAGACTTTACCAAGCCGTTTATGAACCTCGGCATAGGAATTCTATTCAAGGTGAGTTCCCTTTTATAAAAGGTTTGACCCCATTTTTGTCTCGTCGTCTTTTAAAAGACGCTCGGTTTCCCTACGCCAAAGGAAGTCAAACAAAAGGCAACAGCGTCTACACACCCCTTAAACTTAAGCCGTCCGTAGATGCGCACGTGTGTGGGTTTGATGTCGCGAAGTCGAAACTAAAGCTTGCCGTAGATTGGAGTTTACTTTCGGATTCGACCATTCAACGACTTTTGTTTTCCGGTCGAAACGTGTCATTTAGGATTCCATTTAAAAAAGTTAATTTGGATGAAAGGGAACTCCTTTTCCTTTAACTGGGAATGATTTTGAGTTTCGTACACGCTTTCAAATTAACAGTTAAGTGCACTTGAATGATGAAACCAATCAAAAAGATATTGATATTCAACTTTTAACTTGTATAAAAAAACGTTGGTCTATCTAGCAGATACCTGCACTGGCATTAGGTATGAAAAATCAAAAGTGTTAAAAATGCAATCTTAGTTATCTCTTATCAGTCTTGAACTTGTACATAAAAAAGTTGATCTATTTGATTCTCGATATCATGTTACTGATTACTTGCTGTTTTCAAAACAACTTTTACACTTTTGGACAGAAAATTATAATGAAATCTGTCAACAAAAAAGAACGAAGAAGATTTTCAGCCTACGAAGTACACTTACAGGGTAGAGTTTATAAAAAATATTTTGAAACTACATTACCTAGAATATCTCAGTTACTGTATTCACAATAAATAGTCTATTTTATTTTTTGTATCATGTATTTCAAACTTTTGGCATTAGAAGCGAAGTCTTGTCCTTTGACAGACGACAGACAGCAGTCTGTTTTATATGTTATAAAATTATCAATTTTCGAAGCGCACTTGGAACATAAAACAAAGAAAAAAGGACTTTAATTCAAATGCGAATTAGCTTTGATATTTCGACGTTGAAGAGCGTATACAAGAGAGTTGTCGTACATGAACTTTTATATCATTGTTTAATTGATATTAATCAGGCACATATTGTTATTTTATAAAATTTCCAATTATCAGCTGTTTAATGCGTTTTCGTCAAAGAAGAAGAGTTTCCTTCTAATTGGTAAACATTTGAAAGTTGTTTGGAGAAACAAAAGTATGCGCTTCATCAAACATTCAAGCAGATCAATTTCAATGTATCACAGACATCGTAATTGAGTTTTAACGCATTTTTTATTAGTCTGACTTTCCGAATTGTCCTCGTTGACTCATAATTTAAGGGTTGTGGTGATTTTGATAGATTTTTAAATCATTTATTCTTTAAGAAAAGTATTCCCTTCTAATGTTAAATTTTTATGATATAGTAATAATAATAGTTTCTTTATAGTAGGCGTTTGCAAAACCAGTAGCTATATCGCATAAAAATATTACAACCATTGAGTATTCTAAAATCCGATTTAAAAGAGATTCATTCCCCAAATTAAGCTACCTTATTTTATGTGGTACGAAATAGGAGAAAAAGAAAAGAAAAGAAATCGCTTACTGTTTTAACTTAAAGAAAACTGTTTATAATAATGACATTGAGCTTTTTCGGATACAATGCTCATAAATCAGATCCAAATATTATTAATAATAGTAATCAACGACATTTATTTCAAATAATAGTATAATATGCATCCAATATAGAGACCAATCAGTTGTACCGTCGGCTGGCCCAGTCTAGCTTAAAATTAGCTACTCCACTTGACCAGTGCGTCGCGCAATAGTACACAACAAAATTTAAAAAGAAATTGATGTTGACGCCCTAACCTAGCTGCGAATTATTAAAGCATGATTATAACAAATACATGAGCAAAACTGGGAAGAAAACGAGAAAATCGAATTTAAATTTAAACATGTTGTAATTCATTTTAATCTTACAAGTTTGTTTCGTTAGCTAATGAATAGAAAGATAGAGAGACCTTTCCAATGCCGAAAACTCTGTGGTTGACCAATGCTCCTAAAATATGATCTAAAAATTCAACATCTTTCAAATATTAACAAATTAGAAGGAAACTGTTCTTCTTTGACGAGAACGCATAAAAATAAAAAAAGGTTTGGAAACCTCTTTTAAATTTAATTATGGTATATAATTTCAAATCATCAGCCTACAAAGTACACTTAGAGGACAGAGTTTATAAAAAATGTTTTGAAACTACATTAACCAGAATATGTCAGATACTGTAGTCTTAAACTTCTGTACAAAAAGGTTTGTCTATTTTAATTTTTATATCATTTCTTTGATATAAACAATTTTCAAACTTTCGGAATTAGAAGCGAAGTCTTGTTTTATACGTTTTCAAATTATCAATTGACGAAGCGCACTTGGAACATAAAAGAAAGGAAGAAAGGACTAAAATTCAAATGCGAATTAGCTCTTACATTTCGGCGTTGAAGTTGTATACAAGAGAGTTGTGGTACTTGAACTTTTATATTATTGTTTACTTGGCATTAATCAGGTACGTGCTTTTATTTTATAAGATTTCCAATTACCAGCTAACGAAAGCTGTTAAAATTGAAGTATGATTTATACAAGAAAGTTATTCATGCTTTAATTTTTATAGATTATATTGTACACGCACTGATCAAGTTTCGTCCTCAAAACGATTTCCAGACTCTTGTCATTATTGATAAGAAATTAAAGTATATCACGAAGGAAGATCATACTAATTAAAGGGTTTTAAAACTCACACACTCACCTCAATTTTTGGGTCATATTTTAAAAGCATTGATCAACCTCAGAGTTTTCGGAATGTTCGGAAATCTTGCTAATCATTAGTTAACGGAACATACTTGAAAGTTTGAAATGAATCAAAAAATTAAAAGTTTAAATTCGATTTTCTGTTTTCTCCCAGTTTTGCTAATGCACTTGTTATAACCATGCTTTGAAAATTCGTAACTAGGATAAGGCGTCATTGTCATTTTTCTTTTTAAATTTTGTTCTGTACTCTTGCAGCACGCCTTGGTTCAGCGCAGTAGCTAATTCTAACCTAGACTGGGCCAGTCGACAGTTCAACTAATCTCTGTATTGTTGAACTATTACCTACTATTACCTGAAATAAATGTTGTTTAACATTATTATTGTTATTATTATTATTATTATTAATATTAATTATTATTATTATTATTATTATCATTATTGTTATTATTATTATTATTATTATTAAGAAGTAAAAAATTTGAACCGGTCAAACTCCTTGGTGTTTACCTAGATGCATTTTTAACCTGGTCGCCTCATATAAACTACCTGTGAGGTAAATTGTCTTCTCAGGTTTTTGTTCTGAGACAACTGCGAGGTTCCATCTCGCAAAGCACTCTCCGTATAGTTTATTTTGCCCTGTTCATAGTGTCTTATCATATGAACTACTACTGTGGGGGAACGTGACGGAGGCCGAGAGAGCTTTTAGATTGCAGAAGTCTGCGGTTCGGGTTCTTGGGGGTGTTCCGCCGTCCAGCCACTGCTGCCCAATATTCAAAGAATTGAAAATACTTACGTTACCATGTATGTTTATTCTCCAAACTTTAGTTGAAATGAAATTTGTCTGCTTTTCCGACTCATGGTGGATATCACAGCTACATGACGCGAACAACTGACAATATCATATCAAGATCGAGGTTGTGTACTACACAAAAAAATAAACTTGATCTAGATTTGTATAATATTTTTGCAAACACTTTTTTTCGGTCCAAAAATATTGATGTTAAACGACTTACCATTAAAAAATTCCAACAATTATCAAAAAAGTTTTTTAAAGAGCATTGTTTCTATTCCATAAACGAATTTTTTACTCATCGGGCATCGTAGAACTAAGTTATTTTAAGTTATTTTATAAATTATTGTTATTATTATTCTTAGATTGTTTTACTTTCTGGTTACACTGGTTTGTGTAATATATTTATCTTGTTTGTACTCTTCCTGACTTCAAAAATACGTTTTTGTATTTGTAAGTGGTCAATAAACGATTATTTATTATTATTATTATTATTAATTTTACTATTATTATTATTATTATTATTATTATTATTATTATTATAATTATTTGGATCTGATTAATGAGTATTGTATCAGAAAAACTTTAATGACATTTTTATAAACAATTTTCCTAAGTTAATATATTAAGTGGTTTCTTTTCTTTTTTTTTATCCTATTTCGTACGGTATAAAACAATATCATAACTTCCGCGCACTGATCAAAACCAAATTTTTTTACATTAGAAGGGAACACTTTTGTTTAAGGATAAATAATTTTAAAATCTATCAAAATCATCATAAGGCTTAAAATCATGAGTCATCGAGGACAATTGGAAGTCAAACTAATAAAAAAAGCTTTAAAACTCAATTACGATGTCTGCAATACATCGAAGCTGATCTACTTGAATGACTGATGAAGCGCAACTTTCAAACGTTTACCAATTAGAAGGAAACTCTTCAACTTTGATAAAAACTCATATTACGATCTTCTAGTCGATGCAGCGAGCGCGACTGCGGTTGTAATCAGGCGCATTTGTGTCGTTCTTTTTCTTTTAGCCTAATACGTCAAAAGAGTTAAATCGGAAACCCAGCCGGCTTCGCGAATTTGGCATTCAAAATGCGTCTTGAAATCCCCATTCGCGGGCATTTGTTAAATATTTAGTATTCAGGCGGTAGAAGTGCAACTATTATTCAAATGCTTTCGAAATACCGTAGTTTAGAGTCCGCTGAATATTCAGAATTCTATTTACTAAGTTTTATAAACCTTTTATTCGCGATTTAAATACGGAACGGTGTCCTGGCGGCGGGACAACGCGATTTGCGTTACAGGAAGATTTGTGTTTAGTTGCCTTGTTCGACGTTAATGAAGGTACCCCGGAATTATCGCAGGTGTAGTGTTTAAACTTGCCGCTTCCGATTACGATATTTATTACCGGTTTTAATGTCACTTGCCGAACCCCCTTCTGTGCAATTATCGTGGAACCGTCCTGTTTAAGCTTGCAATATCCCGGAGGATTTT